ACACACTTTGGACAGATGGATTGTTTGTGTTTCCCCAAGGACATTTGATTTAGCTGTAGAGGCCCAAAGTAGCAGAGATTGAGACATATTCTTGATAGTTTATCACTGATCACAGAGTCAGAGTCTGGTAAATTCCAGGCCAACAAGTTATAGCCTTAGGAAGACAATCTGCTTGGAAAACAAGCAGAAACAAAAACCTTCCTGTCTGGTGCTTTCATTTAGGGTTTCTGGAACTCTCCCTGAGCTCTGGGAAAAGCCCATGCTCAGGTAGGAGCCAGTGTCCCTCTCCCAGTACCTCCTACCTGTCCACAAAGGAGCCCTGCAAGCTTGGGAAACGTTTCCAGTGACAACCCACCAAATAATGGCTCACAGAATATCACAGATCTAGATATCATGCATGAAGTGTAATTATACCTCATAAAAGGCAAGATTACTAAGTATTACATAAGGTTTTAGCATAAAGATGTCCTAGAGTACAATGTCAAAACCAGGACATGGCTTTTGACCAAGATTACTATACCATCCTGCTTATCAGGTAGTCATTGAGCACCACCTGGGCACCCAGCACGGCATTAGGCATTAGGTACATTCCTGATCCTTCGGCACTTACAACCAAGTTGACTAAGCTAGACATGTACTAATAAGATGATTTGCGCAGCATGATAAAGTGGAAAAAGCCCTTGACTTGGAATCTTCAGACTGGTCATAGCTCTAAATGTCACCACTTGTTAGCTGTGAAACTCAGAATTGTTGTTAGGATTTGTTTTAGATGTTATGTAAATTATGTATGGATAGAAAATATTTTTATGGTTTGGTTTTTAGAGGAGAATTCAAAATGGAGTAGAATTACTTGTCAGGTTCAATATAACCCAATAAGAAAAGCCAGTGTTTTGCAAACAAATTGTCAACCATTGGTGGCTCATGAAATCAGTTTAATGGGTGGTGGTCTTTTGTTGTTGTTGTTAAGTGGAACAAAATAGAAAATATCAGAGTATATTACATGTAGTATGGGCATTTTTGTTTCAGGTAACTTTTGTCTCTATTATATATAGACTAGAGGCCCATTGTACAAAGATTCACGCTATAGGCCTTCCTTCCCCTGGCTTCTGGCACCAGTTTTCCTCCGGCACCCAGGACCCAGGCCTTTGGTCCGGCCACAGCGAGGCCTGGCTCTCCGCTCTGGCTGCAGTGGAGAAGCCAAGCCTCTTCAGTCTTCAGTCATCTTCAGTCTTCAGTCGTCTTCAGTTGTCTTCAGTCTTCTCTCCATGCCTGCATATGCAAATTAACCACCATCTTTGTTGGGTTAATTCGCATACTCATCCTGATTGGCTGGTGGGCATAGCAGAATGACACCAATTTGCATGTTTCTCTTTTATTAGTGTAGATTTGTAAGTATTATACTGTGATGAGAAAATAGTTTCTTAGTATGGGTCACTTTCCAAAAGTTTGGATAGCCTGGATTTTCTCTCCCTTGGCTCATCTTCTTTCAGTCTTGACCCTGGCCATTCACTATATATAGTAACTATAAGCCAGGAAAGGGCAAGAGATGGAGAGTAGACCAGTCCGTAATGTAAGACTTGCAACATTTGTGTTCTTGATGCATGTGCTTGAAATGAACCTTTTCTGTCAGGGCATTCTCACAGAAGCTTGACCTCTGCACTCAGGAGCTATCAGTGACACGTCCTGCCTGCATGACTTGGTGCAGCTCCACTATAAGGCAAGGGGTGAGGGTCTTCTGGGACAATGCTGACAGCTCTGAACCAGAGTTAAAGTCATGTCCCAGGTCACATGGGCTTTAGGAAGCCTTGCCTAGGACACCCCTCGAAGCATGGATAGAGCCCATCACTTTAAAATCTCCTTCTCTGTCCCCACTTCCTATCACACACACACACACACACACACACACACACACACACACACACCAACAATCTCCTCACCCTGAAGAAGACCTGATTCTAAGGCTGGAGCAGGAACCTAATTTGAAGCCACTGGGTGTATTCTTTCCAAAGCACAAATGTTCTATCAAGACAATTGGTTCTGGTCCTGTGACTCAGTGCACTGATTCTCTGGCTCCTCCAGAGATTTTCTGGTGACAAAGGAGCAGTTGAAACTGTACTTCTGCCCCGCTGGCATGGCTCAGTGGTTGAGCATCAACCTGTGAACCAGGAGGTCATGGTTCAATTCCTGGTCAGGGCACATGCCTGGATTGCGGGCTCGATCCCTCACATTACCAGTAAGGGGCGTGCAGGAGGCAGCCTATCAATAATTCTCTCTCAACATTGATGTTTCTGTCTCTCCCTCTCTCTTTCTCTCTGAAATCAATAAAAATATATATTTTTAGAAAAACTGTAGTACTTAATGAAGAACAATGATATTCTAATATTCTAAGGTCATGGTCACTGACAGCAGTGACCTCATTCATGACTTGCCCAGTGTGGTCAGGTAGGGGCTGTTGTGCTTGCCCTTGATTACCACCCACACCCAGCACTCACAGTGCAGCCCCGCCTTGCCAGCCTTGAGGAATCCTTCTCTCCTGAGAGCTTAGACTGGGGGCAGTGGTGGGAGTGTCCGACACCAGAGCACTGAGTTTCTAGAGGGTTTCCCACTGGTCCCCTGGAGCTCCCTGTGGTGACAGCACCAGCCTCAGCCCCTGGTAAATTATATATCCCCACAGGATCTAAAAACTTACTCCAGGCCAGTCACTGAGCTAGGAAGTTTAGAGATCCAGAGATGAATAAAGTGTGAGGCTGACCCTTTAGTTGTCACAGTAGACACCTTAACTAAGGAGTTGTTGGGCTCTATAGATGGGTTTCAGGGGCTTCACGACCTGAAGAGTAAAGTTCTGTGCCGAATTATTTGCTGGACATTTGTAGACTTTTATAGTAAGAGGATACTAGCTTTTATCAGATCATCAAAGGGCAGGACTCTGTGGTCCCAACATTTTAGGAATGATCAGTTTTCTCAACTGTGATTTTTATATATCCTCATATTAAGAGGAATAGCCCTATAACCCTGGATTTAAAAAAAATGAGGGGAAGGCCTTTTAAGTAACAAAAGCTGGCTTCTCTCCGGTTGACTGCCCAGCATCTACTCAATAAGTGGTCAGTTAGCAGATTCTAGTGACCAGAGTATCATCTCCTCAGTGGGAATATGTTTCCTGTAGGTCAATCAGAAGTGCTTTAACCAAAGCTAAGGGCTGACACTCATGTCCTGAAAATACAGTCACTGCACTCTATAACACTTGTGCAAGTATTCCAGAGTCTGCCCTATTTAGTAGCATGTTCACATCAAGTAAATTGATGGTAGTCAACTTGTTGTGAAATGCAGCCAATCCCACTGTTTCTTGCCAACAGGGTGAGGAACAGGAATTGCCCCATGGTGGATTCTGTCACCATGATTACTGCTGTTGCTATAATATATCCAGTTGGGCCAGGATGTTTCTTTTTGAGTTGACTTAATGAAATTCATAGTCCCAGTTAGCTAATTGTTATTTGAATGCATTGTGTATATACATTCTGATTTCTAAAAATTAAATCTACACAAATCTAAAATGGGTAATTTCAAATTGGGTAATTTCTCTTTGCTATTGTTGTGCAAG